GGATGGATGGAAGGATGGGCGGATGGATGGACTGGTGCTTCTACTTACTTAGTGCTGGTGAGTAGATTCCAGTATCTTTTGCCATGACRGCTTCTGCTGCTAACTGTTGGATTTGTCTCTCACTGATACATAGTAGAATATTCTCTGGTTTGATGTCTGTGTGGATGATTTTACACTTGGTGTGTAGATAATCAAGACCCTTGAGAGTCTGGATAAAAATAATAAAAAAGTTAATATTAACAAATGATCCTCTTCAATATGTCAATGGGGATTCCCCTGTGTATACACTTACCTGGCATATCATACTCTTCACTATGTTAATGGGGATTCCCCTGTGTATACACTTACCTGACATATGACACTCTTCACTATGTCAATGGGGATTCCCCTGTGTATACACTTGCCTGACATATGATACTCTTCACTATGTCAATGGGGATTCCCCTGTGTCTATACTTGCCTGACATTATCATACTCTTCAATATGTCAATGGGGATTCCCCTGTGTATACACTTACCTGGCATATCATACTCTTCACTATGTCAATGGGGATTCCCCTGTGTATACACTTACCTGGCATATCATACTCTTCACTATGTTAATGGGGATTCCCCTGTGTCTACACTTACCTGACATTATCATACTCTTCACTATGTCAATGGGGATTCCCCTGTGTCTACACTTACCTGGCATATGATACTCTTCACTATGTCAATGGGGATTCCCCTGTGTATACACTTACCTGGCATGATACTCTTCACTATGTTAATGGGATTCCCCTGTGTCTACACTTACCTGACATATGATACTCTTCACTATGTCAATGGGGATTCCCCTGTGTCTACACTTACCTGACATATCATACTCTTCAATATGTTAATGGGGATTCCCCTGTGTCTACACTTACCTGACATATCATACTCTTCACTATGTTGATGGGGATCCCCTGTGTACACTTACCTGACATATGACACTCTTCACTATGTTAATGGGGATTCCCCTGTGTATACACTTACCTGGCATATGATACTCTTCACTATGTTAATGGGGATTCCCCTGTGTATACACTTACCTGACATATAATACTCTTCACTATGCTAATGGGGATTCCCCTGTAACTGGACTTGATAATTAGTTTTAACAAATTGTGACCTAATACTTCAAACACCATACATATATCTGAGGACAAGAAATTAAGGCAAAATGTGTGAACTACTGACAGGGGTGAATCCAGGGGGGTGCCCTGGGGTGCAACGGACACCCCCTTAACTTCATAATTAATCTTATGCTTTTTTAAAGCAATAAATAACATCTCTATATACACTTCTTCATTTGGAACACCTCCCTAACAAATTTCTGCATTTGCCCCTGATTGAGCCTTGGATCAATGTGGATTGAAAAATACTCTTACCAACTGAGCTAACTGGGTGGCAATCCATCAATAGACTAGTATCCACAAGACCAAAAGTGGAAGCCTTCCTTCTTGTAGTTAAACAAATGAAAAACAAACTACAACAGACTTTTTGCCATTGTCTACACTTACTTATTATACACCTATTTCAGAAATCGTTGTCGCACCAAAAGTCTCAAGCAACAAGCCAAGACCACAGAGAACGCAGGTTCTTTTAGCTGTAATTAGTTTATTCATAGTGCATTTTCATTTATTGACTTCACATATTGCTCCAAACAAGGCTGCTTGAGATGATAATTAGTGGAGAGCGGCTATAGCCACTTGCATGAACCATGAATAAATCAATTATAATTATAAAAAAAAAAAACATTCTCTGGAGCGTTGGCTTGTTACTTGAGGCTCTTGGTGCGACAATGATTTTCGAAATACTGTAGGTGTATATTTGACAATCACCAGGGCTCAAACTTTACCAATTTGTCCACTTCTAGCAAACATTTGAATTTCTTTTTCTGAATAGAAAAATGTTCTAATCTCCTACAGGTAACATTTTCCGAGTTCGATAAACAGGATGCATTGTGGTCTAGCTTGGGTACAAACAACACCATATAAGGCATGATGAACAAAAGTCATGCACCTACAACCATGTTCTATCATATGATCGTGATATAGTTCACATATATTGCAACAAAAAGGATACGTGACCCATTTATACCAACAATTTTAAAGTCATCTGTCAGCTGCACAACATGTTTATGACCAGGATGATTAACGTCTGCGGTATGAACCTGTGTGCATACAAACAAGTATATTACATGATATTGAATGTTAATGATGCACCTAATTCTCCTATTGTAGCATAATATTTTCCCATTTCAGATATGTGTTACAGTATTCTCTTGAGAATAAGATTCTTTRTTTGGGTAGTATTGTTTTATGTGTCTTCCTATGCATGGTGGGCAGATCTCAAATCGTTAGGGTTGAAATGCCACCATTTGAAAAATGACCACTCATTATGAGTCTTTAATTTCTGTAGCTCATTGGTCCTAAAGCCCATCTGACCTGTATCCGGAAGGTCATAAGTTAAATTCCTATCAAGGACTGAGGGTGGACACTGCCAGGGTTTCTTTACGTCCTCAGTGGTTCTTTTACGTCCCTCCGATGTTGGTTAGTAATGATGAGTGTGGACAGACAGGACTGCCATTTAAAGTGGTCATCCGAGCCACTTGAAAGTCTAACCATTTGCAGATGCAATTACAAAGGCAGCACTTTCTCCTCAGTTATTTTAAGACCCTAAGTGTTGGTCCGGCCAGGACTCCAACCAGGACCTCCCACACGAAAGTCCGATRCTCAACCAACTGAGCCAACCGGATGGCTAGAGACTAATTATAATGATAAATAATTTCTTACTTATTCTCCTAGCTCATAAAAAAAATTTTTTCATCATATAACAAACATTTTGAAAAATTCTAAATGTTAGGATAAATTTCTTATCGGTTAATAATTTTAGAAAAGAAATATATTTTGGTACTATGARTTTGTGGATAAAATTTTACATCAAGATGACCTCTACTGTACCCTGCATAGCAACTTTCCGGGTGAGGGGGGAAATAACAAGGAAGAATGCCCCCTTACCCAGAGAGGCACTATGCATGCTAGATGACATCAAGATCATGAAATTTTACAACACTATACCAAAAGGTGGGAATATAACTACTATACTTACTGTTCGAAGAAGTTTCATTTCATCTATAGCTGTCTCTGTGTAGTGGGAGGCACTTTTTACGATCTTTAGAGCTACAAACTTTTGATCACTGAAGCCAAGACAGAAAGTAAACAATACAAGTTTTACTGCGGTCTTCCACATTCTGCAAACTCAGTAGTTGCAAGCTGCACACTGGAATTTGGTTTTTCGCTGCCGTCAATCAAAAATWATCAGTTGGTACCTTTTATGTYCTTGACTGGTAGCAGTGAAAAACCAATTTCACAACAAGCCGTTGGAATGTCTGCGTTCGCAGAATATRGAAAACYGCAATGGTAATTATCTTAGTTTTCATGAAGTTCTAATATGTCATACTGCAAACATTTCATATCTGAATTGYACGAAATTTTATCCAGCATGAATGGAGTGCATGTACCATATGATTATCAATGAAAAAGTTATCTACGTTATTACCAAATTGTACAAAGTAGTGCAAATAAAGATTTGTACATGTAGGTCTGCGGACTACAGACTTAATAATTTGTGCAAAATTGTGCAGTTTTTTACAATTATTTTTTACATKGATATRTGGTRTGCACTCTAGAACTGCATCACAGTTAGCATTTTGCACTTTATTATGAATGGTGAAAATATTGAATATCAGAGTGAAAATATCGAGCCCAAAACTGCAGTCAAAAGTGATTGGCAATCACTTAATTGATYCTGCACAACAATAGCTAATAGTCAAATCTATTGAATGGTTATTATCGAAATGTTGTACCTTGTGTCCCATGCAAGCCATACTGTGGAAAAATGTCCCCATCCGAGCTTTCTTATCACACTGTATCTGTTATTGAAGAGATCACCCAACTGTACTGGATGATATCCACCTGGAAAGAAAGATGAAAACAAGAAAAGGTCATATATTGAACTAATAACTCGATAGTAGCATGGGTGGCGCGCACTGCTGACGTAATGTCTTTTTTGACTATGATCAAAACAGCTTTCAACTTGACGGGCCACAAAACTGAAAAATGCAAATTCAGTAAAGTCGAGAAGACAGTCTTATATTTAAAGAGGAGAATATTCAATTTTATTGCATTCTTATAGAAAGAAATTTAATAGCAATGCATGATAATACTTGTGTTTTGGTATCGTGGCCCGTCAAGTTCCGTAAAATTTGGATGCACACACAACCTTGAGAAAAGGGTCTATTGCCAATAGAGTATGTGCATGTTACGTCATAGCCACCATCTTGGTTGACGATAACAAAGCATTGCCCATTAGATTTCTCTTGTTACAGTAGATCAACCAACATAGGGTTGTTTCATTGTCATTCATATCTCAAGAGATTTTTAGTCACATAGGTCATACCATTACCACCATCTTGGTTGACCATAACAAAGCATTCCTCCTTAGCTTCTTTTGTTCGATCAATCAACATGGCGGTTGTTTCATTGTTATTCATATCTCAAGAGATTTGGAGTCTGGAGAAAAATCCCCGGCAAAAATATTGACAAAGAAACGACTGTAATTAATTAATTTTACTTAATTAAAATTCACGCTATTGCAGACGATCGCTATTACRGACATGAAGTGACAATCCCGAGGCTGTCCAATGTAACAAGAGTTGACTGTAGTGGGAGAGAGACAAAATGACAACAACACAAAGAAAGCTGTAAAAAATGGTATTTTTTTRTAACTTAGAATAGCAATTATAGCCAACAAATACTGTATGCATTGTAGGATAAACAACAGTTTATAAAATGTTTGAAAGCCAGACATATTAGAGCTATCAGCTACAGAGTAATTTATCGATCCAAATACTTAAACAAGCTGTGAAGTCATAGGAAAATAGGTCAATGATCTTAAACACTAAATATGAATTCTGGAGCAAATGCAATGAGCAATACTCTTAATGCCAACTTTAATTGATTTACTCTGTACAATTACGGCTACCATCATGTTTGAAGTGGGACCCACGAATCTTCCTTGACATATTTTTTTTTAGTTTCAGTTTTTTGACTGATGGCAGTCGAAAAATATGCTCGTTGGCAAAGACGTGGGTCACACTTCAATGATAATAGTACTAAATCTTAAACCCTTTCCTCTCTCAAAATCTTATCTTCATTACTTTGCGTAATTAATCCTTACACTAAAATCTCTGTGAAATTCTTGGACTCTCACTGTGCCACTGTCATAACATACACACACATTCATGCACACACACAAGCAATCATGCCTATCTTTTATAAGCACATTGGTCTTTTTTTTTAAATATTCAATAATATTGTCTAACAAAAACTTTTGTGTCATTATAGACCTAATTACCTTTGTATATAAATTGCCCWTTTCAAACCACGCACTTGATGTTCACATATCCACATGAATATGAACGGATAAATTTCAGAAAGCTAAATTCACAATCACATCGTTTGAAATGGGAAATTCACACACGAAGGTTAAATTAGCTAGGTCTATTCATATGAAGAAGGTACACATTTTCGAATCAAAAAAAAWTTATGAATATCATTCAAAGATTTTAGGTCTGGTGTCTATTTTTGGTAACATTAGAGGATGATACATGTTGATAATATAATGCGTTGTGGTTGGTGGGATRACTGCACAAGATAAAAACAATTTATAACAACAGCTGTTATATAGAAATTTAAGTTGTTAAAGATTCATTGCACTAGAAATGACGCAGACCTTGTTTATATTCAAACCTTCCAAAACCAAATTCGATATAMTTTTTAGTGAAACAGTACTTTTAGATTGGCCTTTTTATACGCTAATTTAATGAGCTTAAATCTTGGCGAAAAAAGTCATGAATTAATTATATTAGGAATACTGTACATAACATGAATGARATACTGCAAAGCCGTAGTCAACGTTTAAATAAAAAAGTTTATGGCCTTTAGTTCGAAGAATATAAAGGATACAAAGGAATAACATAGAAGGGTCTTTAGAAAACTTGATTGAAAGCTTTTAGGTTGAAATATTTAGTCTTACAAGACTTGAAATTAGAAAAATACAACAATTGGCACCGAACTAAAATAATGTCAAAACAGTCATAATAATAAAGTATAAAGGAACGGCTCGTTGCAAACTCAATTAATAGTTATGAAAGAAGTAAATATAGGATTCTACTTGTTTGACTTGAGGTAAAACATTCCAGAAGTATCGTGCAGAACGCCGAAATCCAGAAAATAAATGATTATCAATCTAGACCTCGTGATTACGATTAAATTTATGAAATAGGAAGCAACCGAATGAATTCACACCCGAAAATAACCACAATTTTCTGTAGCTAATGATTAAATTATATGTTGTATTTTGAAGAAGCAAGCAGAGTTAATAAGCTTGTAGAAAATGTTCACCTTTGCAGTAATCGTTCGGATCTTCTTGCTCTTCATCGTCAGAATTCTCATCGACCTCGTATTCATCATCATTGTAGCTCGACACGCTACCACTATGGCATTAAAGAGATATATTTGAGCACAAAAAGCCGTTGTTGACTATGAAATTCTCAAGTCTTGCAGCGTGGTGCATGACATACCTTTTATTGCCCTTAGCTTTACCATCATCTGGCTTCATTTTGCCTTTCAACGGCTTGGACCGCTTCTTCTTGGACTGAGCTGCAAGAACTGTTAGAAAATAGAGGTTTAGAGGCTAGAATTTGTGAGATATGAAGGAAAACAAGAGGTTTATTTATGCACCTTTACGTTGGATTTTGGAATTCATTCTTGAAATCTACACACTCGAGAAATTGACAAGCTGGATGGCGGGATGCGCACAACACACTAACGCATATATTACTCACATCACCTGCTGATGATCGGCGGCTCATTCTGTATAACACAGGGAACCCACARGGATCTTTCCTTTTCTTTCCTTTCCTTTCCTTTTCTTTTCCTTTCGTTTCGTTTCGTTTCGTTTCSTTTCCTTTCCTTTCCTTTCCTTTCTTTCAGTTTCTTTTCTTTTTTTTCTTTTCTTTATTCTTTATTTTATTCTCTACTTTCCCATATCCATAATACATTGCGACTTTAGGGTGTAGCCAGAGAATAAAACCGCACCTATATTGCTGAAGGCTTATCAGACAATGCTGAAAATACCTCGTTTGATATCCAAATATAAAATGAAGAAGTAAAAACAGGAGATAGAAGCTTATAAAGAAGTTCAAAGTGAACCTAAACATCCTTTCGTCAAGACGTCAATACATTTTCTATAACATCAAACCTCTTGATGTTCTGTACGCGCAAAATGAACTCGGAATAAACTGAAAAGCAGGTATAGTATAGATTCAATGGGACGTTTGCATTATGGTGTCGGCATTTGACTCCCACTACCATAATGCTTCGCGAACTGTCTGTATTATTGAAATTTGTAGCCCTTCATGAGAATAGTAAGACAATTGGTGCTAATTAGCTGAACAAAAGAAAGTGYGCAAGGGAGTCTGGAAATAGAGGTCAAAGACGCCATCATTCAAAATGTTCAGTATTGAAGAACGTCCCAACTTGGGACAGTTTTTTGATTGGTATACATATATTTTTAAACTTGCGCTACCAAAATTCAATCATAACTGCCAAAGAGTTATAGACAGATGCGCAATACCTACTATATATATATATATATATATATATATATATATGGTCTACGACGTCTTCTCGTTAATACGTACAAGTTATAGTATGCCTTTGTAAAACGTTTATTCCAAGTCGAAAATATAATGGCAAAATGCAAATTATCATTGTACAAGTTTGACATGATGAAAATCCTATTTACATAATTAAATGTACATAAAGTAAAGATAACTTGTTCAATAAAATAACTTGAAAAAACAGATTGATGAGATTGTACTCAAAATCCAATAATAATGAGAACTCCTTACAACTCCTTAATGAAGTTTGTGCGTCATATATATTTTACGCAATATCTACTTTCCCTCGCCTGTTCGTCAATTTTACAGCTCAATTTATTTAGTGTTCTGAATTTCTGTGCGTTCATGCGATGATTTTAATTCAATTCTTCAGCCTCCAAATCCATACAGCGTCCTTCCTTGTCGTTTAAGAGCGTAGACAACATCCATTGCTGTAACCGTCTTTCTCTTAGCATGCTCGGTGTATGTGACAGCATCACGGATGACATTCTCCAAGAAAACCTTCAGAACGCCTCTCGTTTCTTCGTAAATGAGCCCAGAAATTCGCTTGACACCACCTCTTCGAGCGAGACGACGAATGGCGGGTTTGGTAATGCCCTGGATGTTGTCGCGAAGGATTTTACGGTGTCTTTTAGCTCCTCCTTTTCCGAGCCCTTTTCCTCCTTTGCCACGTCCTGACATCTTGTTTGTAGTCTCTTCTTCTTACTCTGTAATTCCTGCACTGAAATGTAAGGTCAACTTGGGGAACTCAACTAAGACGGCGAATATTTTGCTCCAAACGCTCAAATATATGATTATTGTAAGTCTCTTGGGAATGAATGACGCGATCACGCCAATATTCATCTGCGTAAAAAAGGGCGCCCTACATTCCAGGGCGTCATATAAAATATTAGAGTGCAAACAATAAATCCGTGAAACACTAATTACTAAATAGTACAAAATAGTACTAATTAAACAATAGAAAACAATGGAATTTGCATGAAATTGTGCTATTTAGTATTACTAAAGTTTCACGGTTATATTGTTTGCACTCTAATGAGTTCATTTTCGATTGACTGACATTGTACCATGTAAGCTTACAGTTTTCACTTTTTTTTTTTTACAATAACAAAATCAACAAATATACAAAAATAAGGAGAAAGTTTAGAAGAAAAACGGTTTCAAGCGCGCTCTGGCTCTGTTGCGCCATCTATTCGTCTTTCTATGTTTCTATCCTCTTATTGATCTTATCTCTGTCAGCCAAACGGATTGCGAGATTACCCTCTGTTATTGCAAAAACAATAGACTAAAGAATCCTGCGAATTCATGCTTCTCTGGGCAATCCATGCATAGTGCATGCTCGCGTAGTTCTGAGAGCCATGCTCATTCATCACGCGTCTTCAGATCACCGAACTTTATGAATGCGAAAAAAAAATACTTAAAACATAATTATTTATCATTTCTCAGAATTCTAGGGTGGTGTAGTATGGTAATCAAGAGGATATGAACTAAGAGAAGGAATCCTACCTATATAGCCTTGTAACCATCATGTGCACAGTTTGATGCTATTTTCAGCTTAGAGATATTTTGAGCGAAGAATCTGATTGGTTGATTTCTTGAGGGTAGGCAGCTTCCAGTCTTGCAGTAAACAAAGCCTGTGTTTTTGTCGTGGGCGTAGCGAAATATGGCGCTTTTCGTGTCCTAAAACGAGGCATTAAAGGGAAGCATGATTATCGCGCGGGCATGGTAACGAGTTAAAAATAGCATCAGTGATTCTAAAAATAGCATCAAAGTGTGCACGTGATGGGGCACACTTTCTCTTAGTTCATTTTCTCTTGATGGTAATGCATTCGTGTTAGTTTTCACCCTAGGCTAGATAAAGTCTGACCAAAAACTTCTAATTCCAGCTCCACTTCTAACTCTTCAGGACCCTCGATCTTTGATTTCTTCACAAAATATTTTATGCTTAGCCAACCGTAGTCTCCCCCACAGCCGCTTTCAGTGTCGTCACGCAACGCTTTCTCCCCTGAGTAGCTACTCAGGGGAGAAAGCGCTGCGTGACGACACTGAAAGCGGCTGTGGGGGAGACTAAGCCAACCGGCGATAAAACAATGACAGTAAGCAAGAATAAAGATCACGTAAGCGTGGTTTACTGAACACTCTTTTACTGATCTCGTCTGCGTCTTCTTTTCCTTCGGTCTTCATTATCCATTCCTCTATTTTCCCTGCCTTTTCGCCTGGCGCGCCTGTCACTTGTTTGGTCAGTGTTGCCAAGGTCTTCTTTTCGTCTTCGTCTTTTTCTTTTCTCAGTCCTTGTCACTTTTGCTTCTTCGTCGCGTGGTTTTGCTGATGCTTGGGAGCGCCTCCTTTTAACAATGCTGATTCAAAAGAACAAAAACGTTTTTTTGATGATTTATCAAAGAGGATTTCAAACTGATGGCAATCATGAGCACAATTGATGGGTTGCAAGCATTCCCATTAATGGCGGCTATTGTGGTACCGTTAACAATGGATACTAATGAGAAATCTTTTGTTAAATGGTACCAACATGGCCGCGATGACGTAACGTGCAAACGAAGAATTGGGAAACAGAAATATGTCTGATGTAAACCAGATGAGACCATGCAGATTCAATAGCTGTAAATATACAGTTGGGCCCGCAATGAGAAATTCTCTTGTTTTAAGAATCATGCAAGTGCATGAGGGGCGATAAAATGCTTGTTGTCTCGTTTGCATCTCATTTGATACATCCATAATAACTGCTATTGTTTCTGTCTTCTGTCATGGATGCCATAGCGTGCTAGTGTAACGCCTCCCAAAAATGGGATCATAGGTTGAGAAAATTGCTATGGTTTATGATATATTTGATTCGGAATTATCTTAATAGACCTTATTCGTGGTGTGACAATGTTTTCCCAATTCAGCGTGACAAACCTCTGGGGGAATGAAGAACTATTGTTTTGAAACTCGTCGGGATATCATCGTTATTCCTTTCGTATCCTTTGAGATACTCATGAATTTTTCGAAGAGTAAAAACAAARGAAARTGAATCCTCTGGAGGTTCGTCACGCTGAATTGGGAAAATATTGTCACACCACGAATAAGTTCTATTCTACTTGCTCTTGAATATTGAATGAAAATTGTACTTGGAAAGAAAAATACAATTAATATACAGCATTTTTTACAACCCAGGATCCCACGTTATTTGACCCCTTGAGCGCATGCGCTTAGAGCAGTAGCGCGGGGATCCTGATTATGTATAGAGGACACACATAGGTGTTCGCTGGAGATACATACCAGATGATAATGACAGACACCAACACGATACATCCAGCAACAGCTGGCAACAGTAATGTCAATATATTGTCCAAATCCAATTCTTCATCTGTGTCTACCGAGTCCTGGTCCAGTACTTTGTTTATTTCTTCTAGATCGGGATCGTCCGTCACGGATGTTTTCGTAGAAACTGGAGCGCCTGTTGCAGCAGGTAGTGTGGGTGGAAGTGTTGATGGTGTTAGTAGTAGTGTTGATGGTGGTGGTGTTGATGGTGTTCGTGGTAGTGTTGTTGGTGGTGTTGGTGTTGATGGTGATGGTGGCGGCGGCGGCGGTGGTGGTGTTGTTGGTGGTGTTGGTGTCGTAGTGAGTTTAGTAGTCGGTAGTTTAGTTGGTTTCAAGGTAGGAGCAGGAGTTGTATGACCTGAAATATATAGAAAATGTGGAATGAAACTGGCTCTGCTAAGTTATATTTTCAGCCAAATTTTTTCTTGACGTCGACTGGGGGCTAAGTTGTGCTAAATTATATTGTCAGCCAAATTTATCCAGACGTCTTGGGGGCTAAGTTGTGCTATGTTATATTGTCAGCCAAATTTATCTAGACATCTTGGGGGCTAAGTTTTAGTTTTGTCCTTTTGTAAATGTACGTGGACCGAGGACCGAGTTTTAGCGCGCCTTGAAAGACTTTCGTTCATATACTTCGAATACACTTGTCCCCTTTTTTTCCTCAGACGTTTGAAGGCTTGTAACTCTTGTTCGTTTTATTCGATGATGCTCAAATTTCACAGGCTTACTAATACTAAGGTGCTTTATCAGATGACAAGCTCGCCCTAGTCTTTTGCTCGATTATAAAGTGCCCGATAATGATGTATGATGATTTACCTTTGCAGCCAACAAGAGGCAGTAAATCGTCTATTAGAATACAGTCATCCTCTGTCTGGCAACCAGGATTAAACGCCCAACAAAGATTTTTTCGTCTTACACCTGAGGAGGGAAGAAAGAGTGGACACTTTTGCATTCTGATGGGTTATGATTACTTTGTCAATTTAAGTTCCAAAAAGAAATAGCACTTGGGCGCCAAAACTCGCTGAGAGTCGTATTGCCATAATCCAAACACGATGCTAAAAGAAATAGAAAACGCGGACGGACGCGTGCTGTGTGCATTTATAAAGCACGTGCTTTATAACTCCACACCGCACGGTATGCAAGTTTTTTTATTTCTTTCATAAAATACAAATTACAATTACCGTTATTTTAGATAGGAATGACTCAATTTACTGAAAGTGCGCGCGTGTGCTGTGTGTTCTCGTAAAGCACGCGCTCCTATTAACCTAAATATGTGCAAGAGTGCTTTCAATTAAGAGGACGATCATATTAACTATTTATTATATATAATAAGATCTTGATTCATAAGATTTTGGCCCCGTCCACACGTATCCGGAAATTTCTGTATCCGCAAATTTGTTTTTGCGGATACGAAAATGTTTGCGTCCGCACGCAACGTATTCGAATCGTTTTCACCGTCCACACGTATCCGGAAATTTCTTGATCCGCCCTGATGCACGCTAGTGCCTAGTCCCTTTGACGGATAGTTTTTTCTTATTGAGCATGCACCAAATCGTGATTAAGTCAGCGTATTCGAAAATTTGCGGATAAGGCCGTCCACACGTATCCGTACTCGGAGCGTATTCAAAAATTTCCACTCTGGTGACCGTTTTCGAAAATTTCCGGATACGGATACAAAAATTTCCGGACACGTGTGGACGGGGCCATAATAAGATCTTGATTTATAAGATTTTGTTGAATGTATTTTCTTTGGCTATGTGCCAATGTACTAATTGTAAACGGTGGCCTTTGAAATAAATAAAATGTTTAAAATGTTAATTCTTAACACCCCTTAAAGTCACGCAAAAAAGTACGATCCCGCCTAAGCAAGGCTTGTGTTTTCTTCCAACAATTGTGCTTCCCCCCCATTTTTCTGATACAAATTTGCCCATTCCCCCCTTTTTCCTACCAAAATTTTCCCGACCCCCCTCAATTTCACCTSCCCCCCCCCTCTGCCATACATTATGAACGCAGCCTTACTATAAAACAACTTACCAAATGGCCGAATTTTCTTCAAATCTGAGGTAATAAAAGGATTCAAATACTGCTGAACCCATTTTTTCTGCAAATGTTTTTTATCTTCATCATATGCGGCGATTCCATACACATGTCTCCCGTAAAGGTTACCGTAACTTGAGATGTAAGCGTGGTATCGAACGTGTGTTGGTACTCTTTCAAACAGAGCCATCACTTTTGCATAAACTATTGAAATAGCTATAGCATGAGGATCGATATCCATCACCAATTTACTAGCATAATGTTCATCGTTATATATAATGAACTCCGAGTTGTTTGACGGATTGTAGAAGTAAACTATGGTGTTATCATCCTCTTTGCCAACTACCCATCCTTCATAAAACGGTTGAGTTAATCTTTGGCGGCCCCACATAACTGGACTTGAAGCTGGAATATAAAGAAATGGAAAAATGAAGTCGTATTTTTAGCTTTCGCTTACGTCATGGGCTTACATCAAACAAAACTTCGTCAAAAGTTTGCGAAAGTTTTGATTTTAGCCACCTCTGGGCTGATGAAAGTCAGAGCGCCACAAATTCTTAATGATCAAACACTGAAACAATCTCTGGGCTGGTTAAAGTCAGGGCACGGCTAACTCGTAGATAGAACTCTGAAACAACATCTGGACTGGTCAAGGTCAGGGCACGTCTAATTCAAACCCTGAAACAACCGTCTGGATGATCTATCTAAGTCAGGGCACGGCTAACTCATCACAGATCAAACCCTGAAACAATCTCTGGGCTGATCATTGTTAGGGCACGGCTAACTCACAGATCAAACCCTGAAACAACCTCTGGGTTGATCTAAGTCAGGGCATGGCTAATCCATCACAGATCAAACGCTGAAACAATCTCTGGGCTGATCAAAGTTAGGGCACGGCTAACTCACAGATCAAACCCTGAAACGACCTCTGGGTTGATCTAAGTCAGGGCACGGCTAACCAATCAAAGATCGAATTTGAATTTACCACATTTCATAATAGACAAATCCTACCTGGAATTCTCACTGCAATTCCTTGATGGACGTAAATAGCTGCAAGCACGACGAATATTGCAAATTTATTCATCGCATAAACACCATTTGTTCAATTCTCATATCTAACACTATGCAATCCAAAACATTTTGCGATATGTGAATACCACCAGATGACGTCTAGATTGACTTAAACTCCTTTGTTTATGACGTCAGTGGTTATTTACTAATTAAAAATAATAATTAATAATAATTAACTCTACAGCTTGTTTCATTCGTGACGTTTTAAATGCGCGCGCTGAAACGTGGGTAATGGATCTGAGTTTCAATTTCCCTGAGTGAGTCTGGTGTTTGGCTTCTGATTACATAGAGGATATTAYATAGCGTTGCGTGACGACCGACACTAAAAACGGATGTGAGGGAGACTAATATTACATGGGCTCGCGGAGATACGAATTTTATCTTCGAGTGTTCAATTGATATCTCACGAGTGAGCGCAGCGAACGAGTCAGATGTCTAAATTGAACACGAGAAGATAAAATTCGTATCTCCAAGCGGCCATGTAATGTTCTGTTTATTATATAGATATCGATGAAACCTAAATAAAACAAAAGCTCAAAAATTCTTTATTAAAATAGCAAGCCGATTCAACAGCGATATCTTCACGTGTGAAAGATATGGTATCTTCCAAAGATATCAAGTTTTCGACACTAGAGAAAACCTGGTATTTCATCGATATCTATATAATAATAACAAATATACAGTCAATGTCATCCACGTTGTCCATCAAAAAAAGACATTTA